ATTCCTGCAGAGATCATTTCATCTGACACTCAAATGCAACAAACTATTGGACCCTACTCAGTCATGGTAGAGAGCAGTTCTGGGGGGAAACAGTGAAGGATGTCTTCTCCAAGTGATAATGCACAGTGGTTCAGGGAGATAAAACAAAACTACTCCAAGTTGGAGTACAATCAGGACAACAAAATTCTTAAGTTTACAAAAGGAGTTTTGGAGACCAGCTCTTCAGTAGCCACATAGGTTCATGACCTTAGCTTTGTATTTCATTTAAAAAACCCCACTGTGATCTCTGTAGAACAGTGCTCCCTACCAGGAGAGTGGGATATCACCTCACCAGTAATTGCTGGAGATTAGAAAGCCTCCAACATCATCCCTTCTTCACGCAGCTATTCTGGCAGGACCTGCTGGTCAGGCTAGCAGGTTTGCTAATCTTCCCCATTACCACCTTCTGTGGTGATGCACACACAAGGTGACAGAAGACATGCCACTGCTGCGCAACCTTTTCCCACCTTATCCTCATTGTAGCTACTTCCAGCTCTCACCCGAGTACTGCACATAGCATACGAGACAACCTGGTCTCGGTATGAAATGTGAGCCACGAAGGAGTTCTGACAGCACTTCACTTGTGTCTTGTTTTTATCGAGACAGACTAGATGAACTTCATATCCCGTGGTCACTAGTGAATGAATTTATTGCAATGGTTTAATCTTTTTTTGTTAAGTTGTGTTAAAGATCATAAAATCTGATCTTGATTGGGCAACAATCAAGATCATAGACCAAGCAGACTTGCACACATACACCACAGAGTTTAGACAGGCATGTAACATTTGCACAGCTGAGGAATGCGGTACCCTAGGGGAAAAAGCTCATGGCCATTTTCCAGTCAAGAATCATAAAAAGTATCCTTGAACCCCGGGGCCACCACTGTTGCAGACTTGTGGAAACACCAGGTGTCTGCAGAGGTGTCTGTTTGGCAGTCTATAGGCCTAGCAATGCTCATTTGCTGTCCAGAAAAATCCAACATAACAGACCATTAATAGACCTAAGCCCCGTTTTTTGCAGTCTTTCCACATTCTGGCTGATAAAATCAATAACGTACCATTTCCACACATAGTGAGCAGTAGCTGAGTTGTTCTGATTTGATGTAAACAGCCCTAAGGGGCTTCTCGTTGGAGCACTTGTCACATGGACCAAATACAACTGCTAAAAAGGTCTGGTCACACATCTTTGCGGTTCGAGAGAGCTGAAAGAGACAGAAAAGAAGGAAAAGCAAAGCTTCCCACTACTGCTGTGCTAGCTAGTGCAGCTTAGACTGTATATAGACATTGGTAGGCTGGATAATCTCTCTCTGTGACTAATCTCTTGAGCTTGATGAACTGTCACTATATGCAAGACAGTCACATGCTCTGCAGATTAGATTTTTATGAAGAAAAATACAAAGCAAAATATATATTATGTTATAATGTGCACTGATTACACATCGTTACAATGTGCACATGGATTCACTACATGCAGGAAATTACTCTTAGTTTTTACTTACCTACTGTCAGCAAACAGTAACCAGAAATGTATAACAACAGCCGGATTTGTGAGAAATCTGCACTGATCAATATTTATTGTTTTTCCACTGCATTATTAAATAGTCAATATTGTGCATTATTTTTAAAACTGAAAAGATGACCTAGGATTCAGTCAGCAGCTACAAAAATATTACAAACAATGTGCTGCTTGAGCAGAAGTTGATGCTTCAAGCACACTGAAAGCTGGGTCATTATGAACCCACTTTTGTTCTCAAGCCAAGCATCTCCAGGATCAAAGCACTATCATCAACAGAGAATTAAAAACTACTTGAGAGTCAGAAAAACAAACAAGAATAAGACTGTAGTGTCATTTTTCTCTGTACATTTTTCATAGGGAAAATGGGACCTTTCACCACTTCTAAAATGAAAGCTTTTAATGTTATTTCGACATGTACCTAAATAATGAGTTTATGGTCAACAACTAGAAGAAGCTATTGCAAGAGAGATTTAAATGGAGCAAAAGAAATTCAGTGAGCTATGCAGATTTGAGTGTTTGTTTGGCTGGACATTAAACAAAAACCAAATCAAATTTTATTCTATGCACCTGCCTGCATTCTGCTGCTTATTCTTAAGTATTTCAGTGGACTACTTGAAAAATGAGATGATAAACTCAGAAATCCTGCCGACAGTCAAGTCAATAAAAGTTTTGCTGTTGTCTCCAGGAGATGCATCATTTCATCCCAAAATATGTGGGAAGCAATCTGTCCTGAAAGGAACTACAGCGTGTTAATCTGAAATTTGCATGGAGCTTTCAATCAGCTACGCGCAGTCAAGGAGGTTTATATTCCATTTGATGAAAAGCAACAAATATGCCCTGAAGTTTTTAATGCATTCTTTTGCAAACAACGAGCCTGAGACCACAAGCTGCCATCCTTTCAGGGAGTTTCTCTGTGCTAGTATTGCTCCTAGCTTTAAAGTGACTACAGCACCAGGCTCAGTTCTACTAGATTCTTAAAATTAGACATTTACAACTGAATAACCTGTTATTCCGACGTTCTTGGAATTAGTGCTTCCCACTGAGGGCAACTCAGGTGACATAATCACAGATTTATATCCTTGGTGTATACACTAGGCCAACTAGACTTTGGGAGAAAAACTTCCACTTCAGAAGTAGTGTAAACTGAAAGTATTACAAGGAAAAATACCATCTTATTTGAACAAAATATCATTACTAGATCTACAGACTTTAGACAAGGATCTATTGGGCTTGGAATAAATACTCTGTGCAGAATTAATCTTTGAGAAAGTGTGAGAATTTGCTGGCATAACATACAGGGTAAATCATACCTGCTATCAGTATTTTACTTCAGATGAGATTATGACATATTACAAAATTTTGTTACAAGAAAAGCCAACAAAATTTCTGAATAATTTAAAAGCAGTATTATACCTGGGATTGTTTGTGATAACGACGGATTTCTATAGTATTTTATAAAGATCTAAACTATTTAAACCTAAAGGTCTAAAAAGATTACAACTTCTTGCGCTGTAGTCTGAAATTTTAAAACTTACTAGGTTTTTAAAGTTACAGTAGAAATTTAAAAATGGTAGCATGCTGAAACATTAATATGCTACTTACAGAGAAATTCTGTACTATGAATCTCATTGATAAATATCCAAAATTACCCACCTGTTCAAACAGCAAGAACCTGGAGATTCTCAGGATGACTAAATAAGCCGTGTGCAACTGCTAACGTAGAAAGGCAACCTTCCTATTAAGTCTTCTTAAAGGGTATTTACAGCTCAGCCTCTCCAGTTGTATCACCTCAGGTCAGTTATGTAGTGACGATTATAGTTTAAAGGCTTTATTTTAACTGCCCTCTTTCAGAATATAGAATAAAGAACATAAACTATTAGGCAAATTATATCTTACCATATAGCAGCAATTTCTGGATGGTTTTCAAATGTTAAACATACTGGGGAAGCGACTGACAACTGATTTTTCCAACTATCAAGTTGACAAATAACACTATCAATGTTAAGTCTCTCTCATACTCTTAACGAAATTTAAAAGTCAAACAAATTGATTAGTGTTCATGTTGGTTCTTCCTTGGGTATTCTTTTACTATTCACCTGTTTTAAGACAACAAATTTAAAATCAAGAAGATTAAAAATTGCTTTTTTGCACTCTTAAAAAAATTTTGGGGAAATTTATGAAAATGCATCTGAAAAATTTAAAAAGTGCTGAAGGTCACATGTACTATTGAGACTCTACTGAAGTCACTGAAATCATGCCATTAGATGTTTCCATTTTATAGTCAAGAGGATCTGAGACAAAATGAGGGGGGTAAAAAAAAAAAAAAGAAAAAAATTTGGTCTCAGCCCAGCAGAGGCTTGGGTAGAAGTAACCTGTCCTAATTTTTTGTATTAGAATATTAGAACACAGGACTGAAAGGGACCATCTATGCTTCTGAGTCCTGTTCCCAGGAACTGCAGGAGTCACATGTCTAAACATATTCAAAGATGCCAGTAGCATCTTAGGCATCTCTCCACAAGCCATTTCAGTACTTTCGCACTGCAGTAAGGATCATCATTTGACATTTTCCCATTTGAATGAATTAACTTTCTCCTTTACTGTCATTCTAGGAAAGTTAACCTTAGTAATGCCTCTTTCATGTATCTGCCTTCACTTAAACTGCTCCTTATATCTAGAAGAATTACAGATAACAAACAGAATTTTGTACCTACGCACTGGTTGAAGGCATTAATGTCAGCAAAAGCAAGATCACTTTCTGAGAGCATACAGTCGACAATGATCATTTTGAACTTTCTTTTAAAAATATATATTTTGTTGTTTGCATACACATTGTTAATAGCATACTTCACACAAACCTCTCAAAGTAACCTAGCATCAAATTGTCAGAACAATTTTCCTTGATCAGCAATTTTTGTCACAAAGACATACATGCCTTCTGACACTTCTATGTGATGTAGACGTAAGAGTGGACTGTGATTTTACTCAGTGTCCCAGGCAACAGACACACAGCTCCAGTAACTGTAAAAAAAAGGCCATATAGAAATTCCAGCAACAAAACTTGCTTGCATTAAAATATTTACAGAAATTCATGAGGAGCCAAGGACAGCATACCATTCTGACAGGAAGATACACAATGTTACAGCAAACCAACTGGACCATTAAATAAATGTTTATGGTGCAATACAAGACTGACAGTATTCACTAATGTTCACATAGTTCTAAGTAACTTCTTTCAAATGATCCCATACTGAAAACCTAACTATTGCATCACTCAAAGCACTATAAATTGATTTAAAAGCTACTTTATTTAACAAATTAAAATACTAGTCTACCTACATGCCTGTGATATTTTGTACAGCTTTTATTGTTATTGAACAGAACACAAAATTTTTCCTTCATATATTTTGAATGTATCTCTGTGAATATCACCATGACTATTTCACTGTACACAGTAAACACCAAGAACACTGAATAGCGAGAATGATTCCTTTTTTATATTTACAGACTTTTCTGTGAAATTAAACAAGCAGTACTGACACCGTGTAATAAAAAAAAAAAAATCACATCAACTGTTCCTTCCTGTAATATTTAAATTAACTAAATTAATTAGAATGCCTTAAATATTTCAAAGCTTTAGTACTCAATTTTAATAACTATGTTTAATGGACTAGCTAGAAAACTAGAATTATTTACTGAGGAATTTGTAAGTACAGTCATCATTGCAGTGAGGTGAATACCAGTTGTTCTGACAGGGTCCTGTACTAAATGAAGTTACTGTTTGTTGCGTTCTGACTACAGGAAGAAGGCTGAACAAAGAAAAAAGAGGACCACTTCTGCTTCTAAGGATCCTGCAACTGAAATGAAGTAAAGATGAAGTGTACGGAATAAAGCTTGCTTTATCAGTAAGACCAGACCACAGTAGTGGCATTCACTCCTACTCAGCGTGTATTCTGAAATACACTGCGCTACAGATGGACCCAAACCAGGAAATGACTCCTGTTTTTTAGCAAAGCAAGCTTGTAATTCAAACTTGGATCATGACATGAGTTTTATACCTGACTTTTCTACTATAATGACTGATATGAAAATCCAGACTTGTCACTGCAGAGAACAAAACTGAAATCTGTCTTCAAGAAGAGCACCTGAGTCCTTCACCTGGCTGAAGAGCTGTCTGGTGTGCCTGAACTGCAATGCAAGCATTCAGTGAGCCAAGCCTACAAAAAGACAATATGGGTTTGTAACAGCAATTCTCTTAGACTGATATCAGTTTCCCAGTTTCAATGTAGCTATTTATATTGATTTTTTTTAAAACAATTGTGGAAGGACCTTCCCTTCCCTCCTACTACAGTCTTCTGGAGGAACTGTTATAAAAGACTTCTTTTATGAAAGGAATGAAGGTATAAGAACTACAGAAGGGTGAAAGCTACTGTAAACCAGATCCAGTATATCAAGGCAATGAATAGAATTACCTTGGAAAAAAAATCTCGTTACAGGAAGTGAAGGCAAGGAAAATTGTAAAGTAATAACATTTATCACATGGCAGTCTTCCCCTCTGACTGGTGCTGACAGGGCACCAGTGCAAGCTTGTCAGGTAAATGCTTTTCTTGTCAGGTTTGGGCTGAAAAACTGTATTGTTAGCTTTGTGTCCAGCTGATGATATGAAGTCATCATTATAGGACTGTAATGAAGGGAGAAGAGTAAGAAAAGAAAGAATGAAGTCACAAGCTGAAATTATTCCTACTTTTTAAGTCTTGACTCAAAACCAAGTTTTTAACAGTTTAATTCACTGCAAGCTGCCATACGATCCACCAGCTAGAAAAATGAACCATGAAAATCTGCCTGTCTTTATATAGTCTCTGAGGAAATACCAGTGCATTGGTTTTATTAAACCCTTGTGAGAAAGCCAAGTTTGAAGCTGCTGGGGACTTGTATCATTTCCAAGGCATGTGGAGAGGGGGTGAAAGGAAATGTCACTTGAAAGAGATATTTGGTATCGAGCATCAACTGTGGAACATCCTCACGATTGTTTAGCATAGCCTGAAATTATAACAGAAAGGGTAAGAAAATATTGTATTAAGAATCAAAGCAAAAACAGTACATTGTTTGCTTCCCATTGCAAATCTTGCTTTCACATGATGTTAAGGAGACTTGTTTTGATCAGTTCCAAATGTCTAGAAGCTGAGCAACTTAGTAATAATATGATGTAAAGGTCAAGTATAACTACGTAGCATCAAAAACTGTGTGTGTGAAGTACCCTGTAACTTGAATATGAGAAATAATAGTTGTAGCTCTTACCTGGACTTTACGGACAAATGATGGAGTCACTCTTTTTTCAAAATCATCTATTGGAGTGTATGAGTTGAGGATCTTAACTATCTGTTCAAATTACAAAAGACTATTTTAGTATGTCACAAAAAGTGAGAAGACAAAAAGAAGAAAGCATTAATATGACATCTTTATTGGTATTTAATGGAAGTTCCAGTAAAGAATTTTACAATAAAGAGAGAATTTTGACTGGTCACCTAATGAGTTGTTACATATATGATGATTGCTATGACTCATTTCCAGAGGTGTCAGCAGGATCAAGAAGATGTAGAAAAAGCTGGATCAATTAAGAGAAACAACAAAAAAAACCCTGTGACAAAGTAAAGAAAATAGAAACATGGGATAGAAAAAAGCAGGCAAGTATTCACCACAGGAGCAGTTAAAATGCTAACAATCACGAATAAGGAGTTAAAAAAATTGAGTTTAACAAGTGATGTTGTGGAATGCTGAAGAATGCTATTTTTATCAACGGAAAAAGCCAATAGTTCTTCGCAACAAATTATTTTAGATAGCTAAGATTCTGCAATTGGTGCTGCCAGAAGAAAACAGACAGTTCATTACCTGCACAGTAGAAAGAGATGTGCAGTGTTCACATATTTCCTTGGCATCATCATCTGTGATCTTTTTGACCTGAAGGAGCCAGGCTGCTTGAGATAGAGGCTCTAAAGTTTCTTTAGCATTGCTGCTTTGAAGATTCTTGTCCTTAAGCCATTCTTCCAAGTAGCTGATATTACATCTGGGTTAAACCGTGAACGGACAACAGAAACGTCAGGTTCCCCCTAACAAGCAAGTTACACTAAAGACTTCTAAAGAAGGAATGCTCCTCTAATGCAGTGTTCAAATTCATACATTTTAAGTTAAAAACCATACCTGTAGATCATAAAAATCAAACAATTAATAGCTTATTGATCTATAAGTTTAATCCCTTGGGTATTTCCATCCTTTTTATTTTTTTATTTCTTAAAGCTTTGATAATAGAAAGCAAGTTATTAATTTAGCTGTTGTTTGCAGAAAATTACTAATATATACTGGCATTGCCTATTACACTGTAGCACTATATGTCTTTAAAATATTCATTTACAACTCTGCTTATACAGGAAGCGAGAACAATCTTTGCACATTACAAAGCAGGGCCAGGCTTGTAACTGATGACCTAAAGGTTAAAGCAGTTTTCTTCTAGTAATATTCCCAGATGGGTCAAGATTTTACTGATTTTCTTTCACTTTAGTCTGCAGACTGTCTAATGGAGAACAATGAACTGTATCTCCTTCAAAACAGTTTGGAGCATGTTCTGTTGGTGCTCATAACAAGACAGATGATGCCCTACCTAAACCCTCAAAGGCTCTGTCTCAGTGCCTTTCTCATCACAGAGGACGAAAAATGCAAGTCAGCTTTTGTCTGCCTGCCTGCCAGCCAGGGGACACTGCACCTGTTTACTATAGTAAGAAAGAATTAAAAATACTATTCATCACATCATGAGTGAACTAGCATGGAAAGAATCCTAAACACGTCTGACTTTAAACTCCAGACTGTAATTTTCTCTATCTTTTCCTCCATTAGTGTTTCCATTGAAAGAACAATTTGTAATATGTTATGTTAAGAAAGCTCAGCCCAAAAGGCAAAGATCTATTTTTTCAAAAAGAGTAAAAAACAATTAGCTACTTCGAGTAGAACAGTTACAGAATCTCAATGACTTAGTGATAAAGGACATTACATAAAAGTGTTAAAAATTCATTCTCAAGCAACTGCTTGTTGAAACTTTACTGGCTTTACCTTATCTGCATTCCTTTTCTACAAGAGCACATGTCCTTGCGGAGGAAGAGACTATTGAGGGTGATAGCGCCAATCAGAAAGAAAAGCTGCTTCACTGCCTGCTTTAGAAGCTCAGAGTCCAAGCCATTCTGGCACATAGTACTATAAAAATAGCTGAGCTGTTGCAGGATGGAGGTCATTGTGTAGGTATCCGAGTCATCTATACTAGAAGAACGTTTACGGAACCCTGTAGGTTTCAAGCCAGAAATTCCCTGAAGACTTTCATATTCCAGCATGCCTGGTACTGAAAGACAACACAAAATAACTGATAAGACCAACACTCCTAAGGCTCCTTTTAGTTATGTTAACTTAATTATTAAACAAAACCTACTTTCAAGATATTTTAAAAGTTAAATGATACAAGAAAAATAAGATACTGACAAAGGCTTCTGGAGAACACAAATTTTAAAAAGCCTTTTGTTTTTGTAGAATGTTGATCAGTTTCAAAGCATTATCTCATGCTAGGAAATGTCGTGAGGAAAAAGTCTTTCCAAACCCTGTGGGGATATACCATTCAGTGGAATTTATATGTGCAGAAACACACATGTAGGTACACATATGTATAAATCAACAGGAGAAGGAAGTCTGTCCCATCCTTTGCCTCCATGTATAAGCTTTATTTGTATACTTCACAAGCTACATTTAAGTCTGTTTGGCTTGCTGCTGTCTTACCGATCATGGGCTGAATGTTGTTCTCCATTACAATAACGAATTGGTGATAGATACGAATGGCCAAATCACTAAGAATTTGTCTGTATTCTGAGAGATCAAAATGCTTCAAACAGTTCTTATTCTGACGCGGAGTGTTATACTTCATAAATTCCTACAAGTAAGTTGTAAATATAATTATTAGAAATCACATAACATTATAATTTTAAATTGTTACTATAATGTAATATATATATATATATATATAAGAGAGTAACTCATTCCATGTCTGGCTGAACAGTCTCAGAATGAGTCAAAGCTACAGCTAACTTCAATGGATGCTTCCAGTTCTGGGCTTCCTGTACTTAATTTTCCAGTTTATGTTGACGTTTACTCTGTTCCTAAAGCCTGCTAAAGCCGAAGGAAAGGCATGCATAGGTTTCAGTGAACTTTGGAGCAATTCCTAGATCACTTAAACAGAAAGCAAATTCCACCTTCCACCCCACCCCCCAAAAAAGAAAAACACAAAATGCAGTTTTTAAACTACATTGGGGAAAAAAATACATTTTATTGCTGCAAAGGAATCTAATTTTTGGACTTTTCATCAGGAAAGTTCTGACTTCAAAGGTCTAAACTGAATTCTAACTTGTGTGAAGTCTTGAATGTTCATTACAAATATAGATTAAAACTCTAAATTCTGGATTCAGACGT